GTCAGCATGACTGGTCTCATCCTCTCTCTGGTTCTGCTGGCAAAGGTTGGCTCAGAAACTGGACAGACAGGTCTACAGGAAAGGGAACCCTCCAAGGACCAGAGGTGAGCATGACTGGGGATGTGAGGGCTAATGCCAGAGCCTCACCACCTCACCCCACCCACCACCCCAATTTTCTAGTTCAAAATTCCTGGCTAGTAACTGATTAAGGACTTTATAATTCAGTTTGAGTAAGAAAAGGTATTAGTGCCCTGCTTATACTCCTAGTGCAAATTCAAAATGCTTTTTACATTGTTTACTGAAGCCGGATCTCTATTTTCTGCTTCACTTTTAAGCACTACCCACAATGCCTGATACTCAGCTCAGTAATTATTTTTTATTGAATTTGGGCCAGATACTGATGAAATATGATAATACTATATTAACCAACAGATAAATTTTTAAGGATCTTAACTATCTCTAAAATCAGCCAAAAGGGGGGGGGGGGACGGGGACTTGGAATATACAAAATAAAGATCAAAAGCCTATATATAAAAGATTTGCTTAAAGGAAAGCCCCCCAATTTCTCACACACAACCTTGTTTTACACCAACAAAACTTAAATAAGTTTTTCTAGTTTCCTAACTGACTAAAGATGAACAAGAGCAAATGCAGAACGAGGGCAAGGGCTGCTGCTTAACTGAGGCACACCAACAGCTGCAAAAGGAGACAGATGACCCACTTAGGGACCAAGCAAATACAAGGATCAGAGACTCAGCAGCTTGTAGCCTTTTAAGAGAGCGCTGCACACATAGCCAAGGACATCTGTCTTGATTACCCAGTGCTGTTATAGCAGATATGCCACACGGGGATGGGCTTTAACCAACAGCACTTTATTCTTTCAGGGAGGAGGCCAGGAAACTTCAAATTCAGAGCGCCAATTCTAGGGGAAGGCTTTCTCTCTGTCTTCCGTTTTGGAAGGAGTACAGCTGGAATGTCCTCAGAAGTGAGGATGGGAAGACTCTGTAATGTACTTTGGACAAATTACCAAGAGGGACCAGCCCCTACAAGATAGTGTGTTTGATAAAACCAAAGACCACTGAAAAAGAGTAAGACCCTCAGCAAGATAAATCGACACAGTGGCTGCAACAGGTGGCTTAAACAAAGGGGTGCAGCACAAGACAAAGGACAGGGCAGGTTTCTTTCTGTAGTACATGAGTGCATTGTGAGGGACAACATATTGGTGGTGCCTAACAATGACCCAGTGCCGGGACACTGGGTTCAAATGATGTGCTCTGCCCATGGCAGTACTGATGTTCCTGCTCTCTTCTCCTTCTCACTCTACTAAAAGGTGATGCAAGCCACAGCACAGAGAAACTCCCTTGTATGAGATCAGGGCTGTGACCTAAGTAAAGGGTGCTGCATCCTCCTCTAAATCCCTTACATCATCAGGGCTGATCACACCAGGGGGGATAATTACATCAACACATAGCCACCACATTACATCATTACATAGTTGCCAAACCACTGAGAATCATGGTCCAGCCAAGCTGACACATACTGGGACGGACATGGAGATACACATACACACACACACACACCTTCAATCCAGGACAACATCTCAACATCCCATGCGTGTGCTTATGTACTATTTGGTATACACAGCGGCTTCAAAAAATTCAAGGAACAAATCTATTATACTTTAACTCTATTTTCCCATGAACTTTTTGAAGCCCTTCACATAAACGCATTCACTTACAGTGCTTTCTGCATTCAGGTTAAGTGGTACATACAAATCGATGACACAGATGCTTGCTGGCTTATATAACAAATAAGCACAGTACCAAGTGGAAAGCATTAAGCACCACAGAGAGGTAAAGTGCAGTCAGTGGCTCAGAGGAAGCAAAGGTTGTCCCCAGCTTTATGGTGACAGGGCAGCAGAGCTGGGTCTTGGTTTGGATTTGTTGTTAGGTGATTCATTGCAGTTTGGATTTAGCTCATCATAATCCACTAAGTAAGATGTCCCAGAAAATCAATCCCTCCATGTGGTATTCATCAACATGAAAAAAGGGAAGCAATTCATTCTAGTCATTTTCAACACAAGTTGAAATTAAAGCATTTGCAAACCTGTATCATCAAGTACACGAAAGAGCAGTCTCCTAAGAATTCATATCCAAAAAGCAAGTCTACAACTTAACTATTTTAAGTTAAAAACAAAAAAAACCTTCATGTTTTCCATTATTTAAGGAAAACATCACTTGCAACAGGCTTCCTTTCAATAGCAAACAGCCTTCAAAGTACAAAGGCAAATTTGGAAAACCAGTAAAGTCTGAATTAATATAGTACTATGACAGTGATTCTGGGGTTTAGTTGTTGTTTGGAAAGTGTTTAAGTGCACCAAATGTCATTAAATCGAATATGACAGTGGTTATAAAACGTGACATTTCATGCAACACTAGGAAAGAAACCGAGTTGCCAATTAATCTAATTTGTCACATCTAGTCTTCAAAGAGAATAAAATGTGCTTTGGAATTAAAGAAATTTTGAAAGTTTACATACACCATTTGAATCTGGAAGAATGGAAAGCAAGTATCTGTGGATAAAACAATCTGGGGCAAAAAGAAAGTAATCGATCCTCATATCACAATGAAGCCTGTTCTGTCATTCCTAATCTGACTGAACTGTCAAAATGACAATTCAAAGCTTTTAGCAAATACATGTAAAAGTAATCAAATGAAATCCAAACCCAAATCCCACTCCCGCCGGCGAGTGGGTTCTGACTCACAGCAGCTCTCAAGGACCGAGTGGGACTGCTCCACAGGGTTCCCGAGACTATAAATCCTAACTGGAGCTGACAGCCCTGTCTTTTTACTGTAGTGACTGGTGGGTTCAAACTACCAACCTTGAAGTTCACAGCCCAGTACTTAACTAGCTCATGCCACCAGAGGTGTTAACAAAATTAAAGGCATGCCAAAAATTAGAAGTTGAGATTAAAAGCCACTATTCAGAGATGGAAACAACTGTAAAGATCAATAGTTCATCCAGAAACAGCCGGTCTGTTCGCATGAGTTCATTTCATGCTTAGACAAAACAAGCAGTATTATGTTACATTCCATCCCACCTGCTATAAACAAAACTGGCTCTACAAGAGCACATATTTGCCAAATGCTACTAAGCAAATTAAAGTAAAATCATACCCTCAAAACTGAGGGGAAATGTATTATGAGTCAGAATCTCTATTCCGTGGTAGTTAAGTTTGGGTTTTGAGTTTATATACATTTAAGGAAAAGAAATATTGAAAACTAACATGGACTTATTACTAGGCTATTTTTTTTTTTCTTTTCCAGAGGATCTGCAGCAGATTCAAAATCTGGTGTCAACACTGCAGCAAACTTTGTCACATCACACTGAACACAAAAGTATTTTTAAGTCATCCACATGAAAGAACTCTCTATAATTTATGAAAAACTCTATAAAATCCATGCTGTTGTTTTTATGTGCTTTTGAGCGGTTTCCAACTCACAGGTGGTTCAAAACCACCAGCAGCTCCAAGGAAGAAAGCTGAGGAGCTCTGCTCCCATATGTTTAGTCTCAGAAACCCTACCTAAGATCACTGAGTGGTTTGTTAGCCATGTAACTTTTAAAAAACTGTCACAGTCTCTTTTGAAAGCACTAACCTCCCAAATTTAGTGGGGGGAAATTTTTCTCTATGTGCTTTTCCTGAAAATCTTAGTACTTCTGGAATTTTGCTCACACACAAATGCCTCATTAAAGAGAAAAAAAAATCCCATTGTTTCTACTTCTCCAAATCTGATTACTTTTTGGAATTTTGCTAAGACACAGACTCCTCAATTAACCAGAATCTAGTTTGCCAGCATCCCCAGCTAATTGCTCTCTTCATGTTTTGTTTGAAACAACTTTTAGGAGGAAAGAAGGGCTATGTTGACCTCCGTTCTCTTCAAAAAGTTCCTCTCCACTGGTTGAACCAAACCCTTGGGCCTAGACAGGCCCCCAGGCAGTCAATCTTTTATCTCCAAAGCCAAATTCACTGCCTGGGATGAAGCCAGTTCTACCCAGTTGGACAGGGTAGAGCTGTCCCTGTGAGTTTCAGAGACTGTCGCTCTTTTCAGACTCATCTTCCTCCCTAGTCTTCACTGGAAGGTCACCAGCTGGCTGTGGAGACCAGGGCAGTCCACTCATGCTTGTTAGATTCCCACAGGGCGTTATAGCAACGGTGGGAACAAAACTTTGGACCAGTTCCTTCCGGCTCCACCCCCTGTAGAGAATCTGCCTTTCCAATGCAGGTACACAGAATCAGAACTGACTTTGTAACAAGGTCACTTGGAGTGGAAATGCTTCTCCCCAGGAAGTTGAACTAGAATGAACCCCGGGGAAGCCTGCTCTTCTCCCTGGCTTACGGGCTTTTGCCTAAAATTCTTTTCAGTCTTCTTTCCCCAGCTGGTCTCTTCCCTTCCCATTCTTTTAGCTCACTGCCAACCACCCTCGCTTGCCACGCAAATCACAAGACTATAAGCAATCAAAAGGCAAACCCATTGCCATCAAGTTGCTAAGGAGCAGCCCGAGAGCAAGTTCTTCAGAACAAGGGTGAGGCACTCGCACACTAGTTTTTGTCATCTAAGACACAATAGCCCTTACAAGGGTAACAAATCAGGGATGACGAAGACAGCATTCTCTTCAACCTAAAAAAAAACCCACACAAAACACACACCAAAAGAAAATAGAAAAGGATACTACCATATTTGGGAAATACTCGTTTCCAGTCTCGAAGGTGAAGGGGTTTCCGATCTCAACCAGAACTGAAAATTCACCGGCGCTGACTTCAAGGCTTTCCCTACAAAGGTTACTCCAAATTAAGTACCTTTAGGATTTGTCTTCTACTCAGAAGTTAACTTTTACAGCACCCTCCCCGGCGCTGGGAGGCAAGCTGGCTTGATAATAAACAGGCTTTTAGAGAGGAAAAAGCCGTTCGACCTCCACCACGCTTTTATTTTCGGACTCACATTCAAGGCCGTCCGTCCTCCACCAAGGGGTCGGGGTGGGGCGGCTGTGAGGTCCCATGCATGGCCTACAGCTCGCAGCACGCGTCCAGAAACGGTGGGCATTCGTGCCCGGGCGCCCTCGAGTCCTCCGACAAGTCGAGGCGGTCCGAAATACCTTCCAGGGTCGGCCACCGCTTCCCGCTCCCGGGGCGGCCTGGGGCCTCGCTGGGGACAACTAGACCCAGGATGGGGCCAAGGGAGACACCGACCCGTCCCACACCGCCGCAGATCCGCTACTCGTCCGGTCGGCCGCCAGCCCGGAGACCGGCGGGGGCGCGGGCCCCCGCCCCACCGCGCAGACAGCCAGATCGACGTCGGGACACGGGGGACGCCTGCGCAGAAGCACCAGCCTCTCACCCGCCGGGCCCCTCCGCTCCGAAGGGCAACAATACCGCCTCGGAAAGACTCGCAGGGTGGGCTGGGGGCACCCGCACGCGTCTGCGCGCTCCTCCACGCCTCGGCGCGACCCTGCCCCGCCGTCCCGGCGAGGCGAGCCCGCGCGCCCGCCCGCGCGCCGCCACCGCCCGCGCTGACAGACTCGCCTCACCTGAGCCCCGGGCTCCGCCCCCCTTCTCCACCGCTGGAGGAGGCGGCGACCCCTCGCCGACCGGGCCCGACAGCCTGGGAAAAGCGGAGACCGTCCAGGCTGGCGTCTCCGCGGTGGGATTTCCTCCCGGTTCCTCCCACCCCGCCTCTGGACCACCAGCTCCTTCAGCCGGTTCGCCGCCGCACTCGGAGAACTCCGCGGCGGAGCCCACAGTAAGCGGAAGTGACGCAAGGCGAGCGCGCCTACTCCGCGCCATTCCTCCACTCCTTCAGCCCAGCCTGAGCCAGTCAGCAAGGAGCGGGCGGGGCCAGGGCGGGGCCAGGGCAGGACTGCAGCCAGCCCGCCGCGGAAGCCGGAGGAATTTACTCGGCCAGCCGATGAACTGACCAATCCCTGGTCCCAGGAGTCTCGCTGTGTTTACTACCGACCGAACCTGTAAGCGCCTTGACCAATCACCGTTCTCCTTACAATACGTACAGCTGTTATCAAACGCCTTTTAAGGCGGGACTTATCCCTCCGAGGCTTGAGGGTTGGAAAATCGACTTGTACCTCAGCCAATCAAAACCCACTGTAGTTGAAGGCTAGGGCTTTCCGCCCACTTTCGCCAATCGCAATCACGACTGCCTTTTTTTTTTTTTTTGAGTCCACGAGGCGGGCCCTTTGTGCAGCGTGCCTTGCCATTGGCTGGTTTTGAGAATTTTCCCCGCCCCCGCCCCTCCATTGACCCTGCACTTCACGTCTCAAGTGAGTTCTTTCGTGGAACTCAGACGCTCCTGGGTGGAGATAGAGTTTCTATTCCGTAGCGTCTGTGAAAAATAGTGTCAAGAAGCTGTTTAAGTTTAGGCAAGCCGAAATTCAGACTGAAAATGCCAAGCTAAAAAAGCTGTCCATCTGGTGGCAAGTCAGGGCCAACCCCGCCCCGGCTCCCCGTCCAGGTGGCACGAAACGCTTCGCTTCACATCCGTACGGCACATCAGCACGTGTAGTTTCCAGAACCAAATTTATAATCATCTAAAATACAAAGAAAACCCTGCAGACGTTGAGCCATCCCAATGCGGTCTAGGGTAAGGGAGGGTCATGGGCAGCAAAAAGGAAGCAGTGAGGCGGCTCCCGGGCCCTGCGGAAGAACGGCCAGGCGAAACCCGCCAGTCCCCGGGCCCCACAGCTGCAGAAGGAGGCATCTGCTTCCTTTCAGAAAGAAACCCCGAGGGCACCCTTCTCCTGTGGGAGCTCTGCGTTGCTCGGGAGACAAAGGCAGGCTGGAGAGGTTGGCTGGGTTTTATTAAAAAGGAGAGGTTGGCTGGGTTTTATTAAAAAGGAAACGAAGCGCCTGCTTTAAGTCATTACATCCAATGATCACAGCTGAGACCCCGAAACGCGCCCTTTGGGGGGGTGTTTTGTTTTTCTTTAAGCTTCACACTAAATTCGGTTCGTCAGCGGAGTACTTACTGTCGTCGGGCTGCGTCAGTTCGAAGACACCTGCAGCTCCGGGGACAAAGACGAGGTGTTCTTCTCCCATAAAGTTACAGTCTCAGAAACCGCAGGCACAGTTCTACCCTGTCCTCTCGGCAGCTGAGGAGTCAGAATCGGCTCGATGGCAGTGAGTTGACACATAGGTTACACATTTCATTTTTTGGACAGTAAAATAATGAAAATATGGACTGCTGACAATGAGAGGCCTTTCACATGTGGCCCTTACTGTAATGCTGTGAGCTAGATAGTTCTCTCAAATTTAGTTAGCAAACTATATACTCATTACTGAGGAAAGTGTGAAAAAATGAGCACCTTATATTATTGGCAAGAGTCTCACTGGGGCTCAGTTGGGAAATATTGGGCAGTATCAAAATTTTAAATGCACTACCTGTTTCCTTCAAGTTGACCTCCTCCTCCCTGCCCAGTAATATTTTCTACTAAAATACCAACTCATTGCCCTTGAAGTCGATTCCGAATCATGACAACTCTATGTTCACTGCCATTGAGCCTATTCTGATTCATAACAACCCAATAGGACAGAGTAAAACGGCCCTGTGGGTTTCCAAGGCTGGAATCTATAGAAGCAGATTGCCCCATCTTCCCACAACATCGTGGGTTTAAGGACTGGGCTAACCAAAAGGTCAGTGGGGGGAAGATGTGGCAATCTGCATGCTTAATATTGTTGGATAAATAGTCTAAATACTACTTGGAAACTAGATTGTGTAGATCAGTGGTTCTGCACCTGTGGGTCGCGACCCCTTTGGGGGTCGAACGACCCTTTCACAGGGGTCGCCTGCTTCATAACAGTAGCAAGATGACAGTGATGAAATAGCAACGAAAATAATTTTATGGTTGGAGGGGCACCACCACGAGGAACTGTATGAAAGGGTCGTGGCATTAGGAAGGTTGAGAACCACTGGCGTAGATGCTCTGTTAGCTAGTTTCCTAATGAGTGGCTTACTCCTTCTCTGTTCCACATGGAGTCGTTATTCATTAGGTTTGATTTCTCCAGGGCATGAATCTGATATTTGGGGTAACAGAAAGTGAAACTTTACAAAGTCAGACAATAAGTTTCAGAACTCACACAAAGCTGGTAGACTGTGATAGTTAGGTTTTGTGTCCACCATGTGGCTGGGCCAGGATTTGTGGTGGTTTAATAGTTAATACCCAGTAACCCCCAGGGCCTGACCTAACAGCATATTTATAGCCAATCTGTTGTAAAAAGATTAGGGTTGAATTCAATACCCTGGCAAAATCAATGGAAAGGAAATTTCCTTGGAGAAGCTGCTGCTTTCAACATAAGTGATCCCTTTGGAAAAGCTTGCTTGCTTGCTGTTGGGTCTGGGTCCTGCATCTGGCTCATAGACCACCAATTCTTTGGACAAGAGCCAATGGCCTGCTGTGGGACACTGAGGACCGGGAAGAGAGTATATGCAGACAAATTCACTATGTTCATAAATAAGAAGCCTGGGAGGCCAGGATTCTGGTGGAGGGAGGCCTTCGCATTTGTGGCTTGGAGAAGAGTCCCAGTCACATTCTCCGGACTAAAAATCATCCCCACAAATCCTCCCATAATAGTGCTACCTTATGAAACCTCTTACAAGCACATGGCTGATCATTATGCGGCCGGCAGCCCTTATCTATAGGAGCAAACATGCTTCTCTTGTTCTCCCTGCTTAAGAGGTGGTCAACTCCCTTCTGCTGGGCCCCAGTACTCATATTAGGTTCCTCCCCAATGAGCTCAGGGACCTCTAGAGTTAAGACACTGTCCACCTTGCCACGTATGTGATTGACTGTCATTGAAGGGGCTTGCACTTCCCAAGACTATATAAGCCTTTCAGGGAATATATTCACACACATTCTCTTGTTCCTGGCTTCATGGAAGTGAGCACCCTAAACTTTTGTCTGTCTTCATTCTTTCCATTCAATTGTGTCATCGCTCCATAGGACCCTCTTGGTTGTGGGCTGGCCCTACAGCCTGACATACTCAAAACTGCCATCCAGTAGATTCTACTCTCTACAGGAATAGAAAATTTCCTTGTGGAGAACAAGGTGGTTTCGAACTACTGACCTTGCAGTTAGCAGCCCAACACCTCACCACTACGCCACTAGAGCTCTACCATATTGCCTGCCAATATTGGGAGTCATCAGGGACGGGGCATTTTACTGCCTGATGTTGGATTTATGCCCTTCTGCCATCTCCAGCCTTTGTTTTTTTCTACAGATCTTGGGTTCATCAGCTGCTGCAGCTCCCTGAGCCCGAAGCTTCCAGCATAACATCTGGCCCATGGACTTGGAACCTTCCTGGACTGGGACTTGCTGGATTCCACCACTGTGTGAACCATTTTCTTAATATAAGTTTCTGTACAGAGACATAGAAACATATTTTTAAATTTTTTTTAAAAAAGAAACATATTACAATAAGAAAATCTGCTGCACAAGACTTCTTTAGAGTATTGATGAGCAAAGATGTTATTAGGAGGACTGAGGTGCGCCTGACCCAGGCCATAGTATTCCCCATTGCATCATACACATGTGAAAGTTGGACACTGCATTAGGAAGAGAGTAGAAGAATAGATGAGTTTGAATTGCTAGAGAAGACTATTGAAAGTACCATGGACTGCTAAAAGGACAAACCAATCTGTATTGGAAGACATAAGGCCAGAATGCTCCTTCGTGGCAAGGATGGCAAGACTTTGCCTTACATACTTTGGACATATTGTCAGGAGAGACCAGTCCCTGGAGAAGGACCTCATGTTTGTTAAAGTGGAGGAGCTTCAAAAAAGAGGAAGGCTCTAGACAAGATGGACTGACACAGTGGCTGCAACCATGGGCTCCGGCATGGGGACAATGGTGAGGATGGCACAGGACCACACAGTGTTTCCTTCTGTTGTGCAGAGGGTCGCTTGGGTCAGAGCTGACTTGATGGCAACTAAACAACAACATGTAGAAACACGTAAGTATCTGTTTTTTTCTTCTCCTGTGAACCCAGCCAAAGACAGATACATTCAAGTTCAGACCAATGCAGCATGTTTCATTTTTTTAAGAACTTTTTTCTTCCTTTTAAATTCTTTTAAAAGAAATTTGGCTGTGTAGTGCCAAAATACATGGAAGCACGCTGTTGTAAGGTTCTTACATTGTATGTGAAGTAGTAGTTTATCATCTGAAGATACACTGAAATTTTAAAGATACCCGTGT